CCCGCCCCAGCCAAACCCTCTCCCGGAGGACGTCACCAAACCACAGCGCCTTATCTAAGGGCAGCAGTGCGAGCCCTATCTCCTCGGAGCAGGAGCATCACATTAACTGATCAATGAAGATACTTCCACCTGCCGCACCAAACCCACCTCCCGAGCGGCGTCAGTCACCTCCCCGCTCCCCCCCAGTTATCACCACTTCCCCCCTCCCAAGGTAAACTCACCCCACTGGGGGATCAAGATCCCGATTTTGCATTTTTAGCAAAAATGCTACAGTTATGCACGCTGCGTGGCATCATCAAACGCCTTGAAGCGGAGCGGCATGAGGCAAGATCTTGCCTTTTTTTGGTTTTGTATTGTGCATGCTGGATCAGAGCTGCCAGTGCCGGTGTCGACTGAATGCACAGACTGAACTGGTCCAAGCTCAGGGGCAGGCAGGGAAATGGGCTGCAGAGCTTCAGTCAGACCCTGGGCAAACATTAAAGGAGGAGGTGAAAACACTTCCCTCATCCTCACTTATGAATGGAACCTTCTTGAGGTGTGATTTCTTTTTTTTTAAATTTTTACTTTTCATAATTTGTGGAATTTAGCAGTTTTCATGGTGCCCTGCAGACTGATAAAATGTCATCAGAAATCAAAGAAATTGTGAAATTAATACGAGGCGGGGCAAAAAAAGACAGAGAAATGGAAAATTAGAGGAACAAGGGCAAGAAGGAAAAGATACATGTGAGAGACAGTTTTCTGGGGAGCGGGAACAAGGCAGAGAGTGCTATTGACTGCTTTTATAAAGGCAATATGAATCACAGATAAGTGCCATGTCATGTATATTTTCCAAGGCACATTTTGCTGTTGTTCAGCACTACAAACAATAAGGAAAAAACCCCACGTATAAATCCAGCTAGACAAAAAAAGCTACCAAAATTAACACAGTAGCAGCAGGATGTGCCTTTCTTGGGCTCCCTTTAAAACGTCCCCAGCCTCGTTCATGCTGTGTGAGGTTTCAGGGGACAACAAAGGGGAGAGGGCTGGGAGCAGAGTACGGCATCCCCCCCCCACGCCCCTCTGCCGCGGAAGGAGGGCAGAGCCCTCCTGCACACACATTTCCTCTGAAATTCCCCAGAGCAATGACAGGGAAGCAATGGAACTAGGGGCACGGATGCTGTGCAGCTCCCTGGGTGTCAGCTTTTGAGCCGATGCAGGAATAGCTCCGCCGTGCCCGCACTCACAGCTGGCGCTCACTGGCGCGGCGCGCGTTGGCGAACCGGCTCTTGTTGCCGTTATCGCTGCGGCAAAGGTGGTGGGACTTAGTGATAAAATCCAGAGATGCGGCTCCTGCCCAGGCTTACTCCTCTGACAGGTCTGGGTGGGTGAGCAGACCAGAGTAGGGCTTTTTTCTTGCAACCTGATGTAAATCTGTTCATACTTCCTTGCTTACAGTAACTCTCAGAGATGTCAAAAGTCCTCAGAGCTTGCACTTCTACACTCGAGAGCCTCCAAAGATAATGTTCTGCCATAGCTCCCTCATGACTAGTGGGAGCAGAGGATGCTGATAGCTATTTCTTGCCTGTGTGCCAGGTGCTCTGTGTTCTTTCAGTGCCCGTCCCCAGCACATTGACAGCATCAAGCTCCTTGACAGCCCAGTCCTGGGCTGATCTTCCAACAAGTTTCATACAAGATTGACGTGAAGGAAACTTGTAGTTACTTCAGAGTGCTAATAACTGCATTTACTGAACAGGTTCAACACCCAAGGCCTGTCTGCACCTCCAGCTTGCTACTCTGGGCAGCAACAAGAGAGACGAGCAGGGAATCCTGCTGGAAGAGTTGCAAGTTCTTGAGCAAAAGAGAGAAAGGGAGAGAGACTTTTAATATCGCATCCTACCCTGAGTCCAAAGCAAAGTAGCTCTTGGTAGGAAGCAGATGTAATTGCACCCTCAAGCGCTGCAGCAGCTCCGACAATTCCATATGAAATTAAGGATTTGGCTCTTCCTACGTTCACACTGAGCTGTTTCCCAGAAGGTACCGACCTACAGGAAGGGGAGTGCTGTCGCTTCCAGACAGCTCAAGCAAATGCTCCAGCTCATGCTGCAGCAAGCTTTCCACCTTTGGCTTTGCTAACGAGCCTCATTCTTATTTAACATCTCCCTCAGCTCAAGAAAAGCAGGATGTGTTACCAGGAAGAACACCTCCCTGCTAAGGGTGTGAGATGCACAGAGAAGATGCTCCGATTATTTTTTTTCCTCTGAAGATTTAGGAAGCAGCAGTTAAAGAAGAAACTGGTAGCTCTGGGGCAGAGAAGCACATCCTGTAAAGGGAGCCCTGCACCTCGACAGTCTGAGGACAACCTTGGCATCAAGGAGAGAGACGGGCACAGAGATGCAGACATTAGGATACCGCTTTATCCCTTCACTGGATGGGAATATGCCTTTTCCCAGGGGATGCACCATTTCTTATCTCTTTATAGATGCCATTTGATCCACTGATACAACTAGGCAGAGCACAGACCCTCTGGCTCATCCGTTCTTCTCCCTAACTCAGTTGGAGCTATATTTTCTAATTGCTGCCTCAAAATGAACAGTGTTTACTACAGGATGTCTCATCCCTCGTGGCATTTTGCTGCCAAAATGGTAAAAGAAGTTGGAATCTACTCTTGGCTCATATATCACCCACAACCATCCTCCCTGCCTATTTTTCGTTAATAAGGAGCCAAAAATCAAAGTAGGGCGTATGTGAAGGTCCAGATGAAGCCACTCAAAGGGAAATAGCAAAGTATTTCCTGTGATTTGTTGTCCATCAACACCAGGCACTGGAAAATACACTCATTTGGCATAATTTACTTTGGTCATCGGGGCGACACTAGCAGCGAGCAGAGGGGTCGAGGGTCAGAATCATGCCTCTCAATTGCCTCATTTCTCTCTCACACTTCAATTTCCCTGTAATCACAGACATGTTAGAGAGTGATCCCTATTACTGCCTTGCTGGCACATAAAATCGAGCCTGATGCAGCAGGGATGGGAGAAAGGGACGGTCCAGAGCAGCAGCTCAGATCAAATCTTCCTGCATGTCCAGCACCTGGAGAATTAGCAAAGCTCCCGAGAGAAAGATTTTTCAAGGACATGAACATGGCTTGATTTTCAGCAAGGATCTAGCCCTTTACCAATTGTGTTATGCTTCCTACAGCTGAAAAGGTGATGCTGTTTGGTTTCCAGCAGTAACTGTGCTTTAAATTAAATGAATATAACCCCAAAGATTTCCAAGAAATAGGACCTTAGAAACAGTTCTGCTCCTTCAATCACATTGTGCCTTCTGATAGTAGTTCACAGAATAATAACAGCGGTGTGCAATGTAATCTGCAGTTCTCGTAATGAATTTCTTTTTGTCTTAGAGTCACAGCTTCTGATGGGAGTTGCACATGGCCCTCACCAGGACTGACCCCTTCAGAAAATGAAATAATATTGTCGTTGTTCCTAATGTACCTCACCCAGATCTAGGAGTGAGCTGAAGTGCTTACCTATTGCTCCGTGATCACAAAAAGAAAATATTATCCTGAGCCCACCTCTCCAAGAGCTAATGCACAGCACGAGTCACTGCTCTGGGCTATGTGGATGAGCTGAGAAAAATAAGTATATTGCTGGTCAGCAGCCTGGACAGGGTGGGTCATATCAATAAATCAGGGCTCCAAGTTCAGCAGAAAACAATGCTCCCTCCTGCCCCAGGTAAAAGGTGGAAAGAGCAGAGTCAAGCCAGGCCAAGAAGGCAGATATTGATTTTTATGTGGCTAGAGCATCATTTCCAATTTCCTGACATTTTTGAGGAGGTAAAGCACTGCCAAGGTTATTGGAGCAGACAGGAGGGAAGGTTTTGTTTGCAGTGAGGTGCTGGGCTCCAGGACAACGCTGATGACCTGCCTCAGGTTCCAAAAGCCTGGTCCCCACCGCAAGCCCAGGGCAGAAGGAAATCAGAGATTAAGCCATGGACATGGAGCAGTGGGAAAGGCTGACCAGAACATAAAGGAGACGGAACGAAGCCTGGTGGAAGGGGGGGTAGGAAACCCACTGAGTGAGCGATCGATGTACAAAGAACATCAGGGACCTGGGTAAGAGCCAGCGAATGCAAGAGAGCAGGAGCTGTGATGGAGCTGAACTGAAAGGACCAGCTCCCACTAAGCTGCAAGAAGAAAATTGGGCTGGCTAAAAATAAAGGGCCTTCAAGCAGCATGGTCTCTTTCTCCGGACACAACGTAGGCCATGAACACGGGCAAAAATAAATAGGTCAAGGAGAGTGGCTCTTTCAGAACTAAACTTCCCAGAGCTGGCTGTTCTTGGGCAGGCAGGACCGTGCTGAGGGGCTGGCCAAGGCCACCACCACATTGACACCCTCCTTCAGCCAGCAAAACATCACCCTGGCTCTCTTGCAGGCAAATCCAGAAAAGCCTAATTTGGTCATTAATAACCACAATGGAAGAGAAAAGCAGTCACAAGATAGCATGGCAATTCCCACTGAGCTTAGGGAGCACCCCAAGGGTGCAAATGTTTCAGTTCTTAAACAGTGTTTGCAAGATGCAGCCTGTGTCCAGCCGACCGGAGCTGATGCTCTCTCGGTCTGCAGAGAGCGTCTTCCCAGCGTGGGGAGCACATGGTGGGGTCGCTTTAGCCACAGCTGGGCATGTGCAGCTCAGCAGAGGAGAG